GCTGAGGGGCGTCGTCCCCGAAACTCGGGCTGAGGGGCGTCGTCCCCTGATGCTCGGGCTTCGGTGGCGCAGTTTCGGTTTTCCTCAGAATCTCGGGGCTTATGGCTTTCCTCGGGCTGTGGTGAGCTCGCCCGCCCCCCCCACCCATGGGCGCTGCTCTCCCCGCTTCTAGCGACTCGAAGGGACCCTCGGCTTCTTCGTATCCTTGGCATTTGGGGTGCTTCTGGGGCTGCTAACAGGTGCTCCCGGTCGCAGCTTCCCGGGGGCTAGAGAGTCCCCCCCCCCAAGTCTAGGGACTCGAAAGGACACTCGGCTTCTTCGTGTCCTTGGCATTCGGGGTGCTTCTGGGACTCGTGGGCGTCCGCCATGACATGGCGTCCCAAAAGGCTGCTCTGGCGGTCGCGCAGGGCTTGCGGGTTTCCCCCTGGGCTGGAGGTGCTAGGGGACAAGGGAAAGACCGATGCCGCGCCTCCCGGGGAACCGAACTTGGGCTAGTTCTTTGCAGAGTTTCAAGCCGCTGGGGAAGAGGTTCTAGAAAATGCCGCCCCAGGGCATGCCTGCACCCCTGGCCGATTCCCGTGACTTCGGGAAGGAGGCGTGGAGGGCTCAGGGGCCACTGTGCGTCCATTGGGACGCAAGCTCTGAACCGTGTTTTTCTACGTTGTGTGCCGCGAAGGCTCGTGGCGGGCACTCGTGACCCGCGAGAACTTTCTTTGGAGAAGAAGGAGCCTGCACCTGGAGTCCCCCCTCGAAGTAACTCTCCTGTTCGGCATGGACCTTCTCGTGGGCCGCCAGCTCCTGCAAACCTTTGCAGTTCGGCCACTTGGTGTGGACTTTCTGGGACGAGCTGACCCGTCTTGTAATGTCCGTCCCTGGCGAAAATAGGTTAAGACGAGGGAGGATTAATATTATTTTTTTACTGACTTCTAAATTCAGGGAATTCATTGTGAGGAAGTTTCCTTAGAGACCAAAGCAGAGCCAGTTTGGGGCCTTGATAGTTAACCGTGTTTGTTTGGAGACAGGACTCTTATTTTATTGTAGATGTGGTGAGGGGAAAGAACCTCACCATCTAGACATCATCTAGACATGTCGTGGCGAGGCCTTGCTATGTATTGAGTTTTCTGTTTGTTTTTCAGGGGACAAGTGTGCAGTCTGGGAACAGCTGTAAAATGTGTGTGGCGTTCCTTGAAAAGCACGGCGCCTTTCAGCATGTTCCTGGGAGAGGCCTTATGCTTTGTGGACCTTCGATAGTAAAGGCTGCCTGCTCTCTCTGAACTCATTCTGCTAGAGTTTTTATGACATGAACTGACAAACTGGTTTTTTGTTTTGTTTTGTTTTCGAAACAGGGTTTTTCTATACCTTTGGAGTCTGTCCGGGAACTAGCTCCGGTAGACCAGGCTGGTCTCGAACTCACAGAGATTCACCTGCCTCTGCCTCCCGAGTGCTAGGATTAAAGGCTTGCGCCACCACCGCCCAACCAAACAGTTTTTAATGGTTGCAAAATGTGATTTTCCAAGCAACCTTTCTGCTCCGTATTTTATAAAGCAGGACTTGGACTAGATACAGATTTTTGTGTTCTCTCTCTCTGTCTCTCTCTCTCTCTTTCTCTCTCCCTCTCTCCCTTTTGCCCTCTCCCTCTCCTTCTGACTCTCCTTCTTTCCGTGTTGAGACAGAGTCTCATTATGTAGACTGACTGGCCGACTTGGAACAGGCTATGTAGAGCAGGCTAGTCTCTACCTCCCTAGCTAGGCTGGGATTAAATGTGTGCCAGTTTTGAACCTCATTTGTCTGATAGGAAGCAAATGCTAATGCTGGCGTGGGGTGGGCTAGCGGAACATAATTTGCTTGTTTTATCTCCCACGGAGCTGACTTTCTAGTACCTAAATTGGGTCTGCACAATGGGAAGGCTACTTTTGTTTGTTTGTTGAGAGAGGTTCTCACCGAGGAGCTCAGGCCACCTGGAAACAGCAAAACCCTCGCCAGAGCCTCCCACGTGCCGACATGTACAACCCCCTGGACAGGAACAGGAACAGGAGGAGCTGTTTTTTTTTTTTTTGAGGGCCTCCATAGAAATAAGAATCATTAATACTGTAGTTTAGGTGTTTGTTTTTTTTTTAAATTATCTTTTTAAAATTGGAGCTGGGAGTGTGTATTTAGCTTAGTTGACAGCACTTGACTGGCACTCCTGAAGTTAGGTGCCTAGCACCACATGGGGAAAAAGTGAGTCAGGAAGAGTGGACTGTGTACCCATTTCTCCAGATGCAAATGAGCCCAAGGTGGTAGAATCAGGCTAGGTTTTGAGCCCCAGTTTGAGGGCAACTTGGTGAAACTCCATCTTATGTACACATACACACCCCTACACACATAAATTTTGGGACCTTTTCTTTGTAAACATACCCCTGATTTTTCCATGTGAATTTTAAGCTCAAACTCAAGTCAGTCATGCTTAAATAGCAAGTGCCATGCAGAGCTGACTCTGCATTACTAAGTATGTCATTGCTTTCCTTTTTAAACAAGGTCTCGCTAGATAGCCTTGGCTGGCCTGAAGCCCACAGGTATCTGCCTGCCCTTGCATATCACTTGCTGGAATTAAAGGTGAATGCCACCATGCTAAACAAAGTATTCTTCTTAAGGAAATCTTTAAGAAATTAGAAATCCTATTTAGATATTTGACAATATACACAATGTTTAGATGGTTAAGAGGTGATATTTCATATGTAGTTACCTGTTTCATGCTTTGTGAGATCTAGTTTGAATTTAATTTTTTAAAATAATATTAATTTTTTATTTTATCAATCATCAATTATAGTGTGTTAATTTTCGAAGAACAGACTTGTAAATTATTGGTCACTATAAATGTGGCCAGGAGGCAGCAGTTTTATAATTTAAAATTTAAAAGCAAAACATTGAGCACATCATAGCGTGGAACATGTGATGACAGTTATGTCTTTTCTTGTACGGGGGATTGAACCCAGGGCCTTGGGATTGCTAGGCAAGCTCTGTATTTCTAGATACACAGCAAAGCTGCTGATATTTCTTTAATTAGAAGACATTTATTGTTTCAGTGAACAGATGTATTGCTCTACACAATTAGAAATAATAGTCTGTGTATATACTCATATAGCTTAATATTTTATAGTAAATAAATGATTCTTTAGCCAACTATTGATTATAAGCTAAAATATTTTTTTTTAAATCTGTGTGCATGCCTTTAGTTACAGCACTGTGAGAAAAACATCAGAGGTAGATACCTCTGAGTTCAAGGTCAGTCTGGTTTACATAGAAAATTCCAGGCCAGCTAAGGCTACACAGGGATAACCTGTCTCAAAGAATGGAGATTTTTTTAAACAACCCATAACTTTATATCATAGTCCATGAAACTGTTCATTTAACATGTACTTAATCTAATTTTTTCTTATTCTTAGAGTATATTGTTGTCAACATAGACACTGACAGTGATACTCACAGTGATGATGGAGATGAGCAATTAAGTGAGTATTTGGGTTCAGATGTTATTCCGGATACATCCAGCGATGGCGATTGGACCGTAGAATCCGATTTTGAAGATCCTGATGACAACTTTGAGGAACAATCCCTGCATGGTAATTTGTTAAATTTTCTCCTTCGCTAAATTTTATGGTCTGTTTCTCATTTCTAGTAACCCACTGATTTTCATAATTTTTGTATTAATTAGTTTGTGTAGAAAGCCTGAATTTGGGACTAGAGAGATGGCTCAGCGGTTAGTAGCATATGATTCTCTTGCAGAAGACCTTGGTTCAATTCCCAAAACCCCCATGACCACTCACAACCATCTGTAGCTCTTGTCCAAGGGGATACAACACTCTCTTTCTGACTTCTGTAGGCACCAAGCATGCCATGGTGCATGTACAAACATTCAGTCAAAACACTCATACACATCATACTTTTTTTCTAAGAATCCCAAGAGTCACGGTAATACAGTATTTCTGTGTGTTTGTGTTTTCCTTCAGCTTTTATATGTGCTGTTTCCCTTTGCCTTTTTCACTCTAAGGGGAACAATCTCGGAAAATATTTAAAAAATTATATTTTCTGTCTTCTAAAGTTATTTATATCTGGCAGTATAATTAAACTATATATCATTTATAGATATGTAAATGCTTATAACATATATAAATATTTATAAAAATATATAAACTAAATATAATAGCTTTGATGGAGTTTATGAATCAGGTGACATAACATAACTGTCTATGTAGACAATCTTAAGGAACAAAAATTACTGAACTAAAATGGTTATTTGTAAAATAAAAGTTTAATGTACAAATCAATCATTTTTCTACATACCCGTAATGAAAAATTGGACTTATAAATTAAAGCACAGTACTATTTACATTTGAACATAAGAGTCCCCAGAAAGAACCTCCCCTTTGTGAGTCAGAGTCTCACTATGTAGCCCTGGCAGGCCTCCAACTCACAGAGATCTGTTTGCTTCTACATTGTAAGTGCTGGGACTCAAAGCCTGCTGCACCATAGACAGTCACAGAAGGATTTTTCAGTTGTTTTATCTAGTATGAAGGTAGTTGTAAATTTTCCATGAATATCCTTTATTGAGTTGTAAAAGTTTTCTTCTATTTCTAATGTTCTGAAAACTTTTATGTGAAATGATATTGAATTTTGTCAACTGCCTTTTGTTTATCAAGATGATAATGTGAGTGTTCCCCTCTTTATTTATATATTATACTGATTTTCTTATGTTTGAAAATCCTTGTGCATTTGGGTAATAATTTATCCTTGTTATAGTGAATAATAATTTGGTTTTCTAAACTTGATGGTCACTTTTGCAGAGACCTCTAGTAGGGAATGGTTTCCCTTTCAAAGTCACAAAAAAACCAAAAATGAAATGAAACATTAAATATTGATAGTATAAGTTTATTCAGTGAGCAACAACAACAAAAACAGAGAAGAGGGCATCCAGTGAACAGCTAACTTATCTGTTTTTATGGGGTAAACAGAATTAGAGGAGATATTGTCTGATTAAGAGGAGGAATATTCCTGTCTTTCCTTGTAATAGGCAGAAATTTCTTGAAACTTGGGTGCCATCTCCTTTTGCTTCTATTCTGGGCTATCATTTTTCTTTCAAGGAGGCTGGCACATGCATAGAAAATAGATTCTAAAGTAGTTTTAAATTTTTTTGAAGCATTAGGTGCCCATCTTGGTGTCTTGAAGGGTGAGGAAGGCAACTAGGCAAGTACAAGTCAAATCAACCCTGTGTTCCAGGAAGGGGAAAAACATTTCTCAAATGATCAATATGTTTTTCTCCAGGTATGAAAAGAAATCTGACCTAAACGTTAAGACCTCTAAGGAGATAGATATGATACAAAAAGAAGCGTTTTTGATGAGTTGGGGAGAGCTACACTATGTGTGAATATAAGGATAGGTATTTAGAATACACTTAAGGAATTATAGCACCAGGCAGGAATTCATAACGAAAAATTATCGATCTGGTTCAAGGCCCTTGGTCTCTACTACACCATCCATGCTTGGTCCTCACTGGGACTCTTCTGGACATCCTGTTGCTGTCCTGTGTAGTGGAGGTCCTGCAGCCCTGAGTCCACAGGACCACCCCCACCCCACCCATCACCCTCATGCTCAACAGATCATAGATGGGGCAGATGTTGGGCTGGGCTGACACATAACCCTGGTTCTGGGCCTGGGTTCAGCTCTCCCCTGCCTTCCCTACCAGGGTGGGCTCTCCTGCATTGTCCTGGCTAGTTTACCCCTTGAAGCAAAGAGCAAGGGATATGGTCAGTTCTCCTCCTTTCACATCCTCAGGGTCAGCTCTCCCACACCTACACCTTCAGGGTAAACTCTACTATGTTGTCCGGGTGAGGTGTAAGGTCTACTCTCCCAAATACTGCAGCTGGTAAAGGGGAGGGACAACTTGCTCCTCTGTTCTAGACAGTAAGGGGAGAGGGGTAAGGAGGTGCACCTCTCTCACACTCACACTGTCACATGACAGACTAGTAGTGGGGACAGCTCTCTCTCATGCGCACCACTTCGGGGCTGGCTCACCCACACCTCCGCCAAATTTGCCTCTATAGTCCTGGCCAGGCAAGGTGTAGGGCCCATACCAAGGGGTTTTAATAGACGTAATCATCTGAAATTATTCAACCTAATTCATACTGAGAAAGATGCAAATGAGATGGGATATAGCTTTAAATCTTTATCAAATTAGTAGTGTTTAAATGTTAATTCACTTTAGTGATAATAGAGAAAAGCACTGCCTTTCAGGACCTATCAGGCAAATGTTATAGCCTTTCTTGCAGTGATTCTTTTATAGGAAGAAATGTTTGTTTGAAATCATATCCATAATTATTTCAAAATAGTGAAAACTTAGGAGCCATGAGACTTAGAAACCATAAAATGCCCAGTGAGAGATAGTAGTATTAAAAAATACTTCATTAATAAAATGAAATACTGTGAAGAATTCAAAAGTATTTTGAAATTTTAAGTGATACTCAAAATTGCTCAAAAGATGTATACAGAATAAAAGAAAAAAGGAAATGCATCTAAAACTCGTATTTATTGGTGATGGATTACTTTAATTAGATTCTGAATTTTCCAAAAGGAGCTAATTTTAAAAATATTTTATATTATGGAGTTTTGTCTGCATGCATTCCTGTGCACCACATGTGTGCCTGGTGTTCATGAAGACCAGAGAAGGACAAAGGAGCCTCTGGAAATGGAGCTACAGGTGGTTGTGAACTTCTGGGTGAGTGTGGGAAGTGGTCCTCTGTACTCCTAATTGTGAAGTCATCTCTCCAGGCCCTAAAGAGCTTATTTTTAGATAAGTTTTACATAGAGCTATACTATATTAAAATATACACATTTCATGTATATACAACTTAAATATTTTCGATGCATGTAAATAATATTAATAGTAACAAATAATAGGATAAGAACTGTACATACTCTAACCATGCCTCCTTGTAGTTCCTAACCCCCTTGGCAAGTAGTCACTATGCTGACTTGTCCCATCATGGTTTACTTTGGCCTAATTTTGAACTTTCTGTGTTTGTTTTTGATGCTGTTTTTTTTAATGCATTGTTCTGTGTTTACCTCACCTGAGAGTTAATTCCCCCATTTTTTAATTGTCTCTTTGTAGTACTTGGGACTTCCTGTATGCTACCTTTGAACTATAACCTTGGCCCTCTTTTTAATTTTTTTTCTATTTGAGACAGTCTATCTATGTTGCCCAGCTAGGCTTTGAATGTAAAGCCTGAACCAGATCCAGCATACTTTCTGTCATTTTGAAAGGAGACCATAAGGTCTCTGTGTAACTCACACAGGTCAGCTCAGGCTGGTTCAAACTTGATATCCTCCTGCCTTGGCCTCAGGGTGCTGGCAGCATAGGTATAAACTACTACATCCAGTTAATTACCATCTTCTTACTCCTTTTACTTTCTGTCATTTGGATCTTTTAGGTTATTAGTATCTCTTTAGCTGCTCTAACTCAGGATGGATAAAGTGAATTAACTTTTTGTAGTATTGTGCATCTCCAGTAACTATGAAGAAAGAGGGCAATCCAGACCTAGTTCAAACTGGAGGGTTATATCATTATATGATAGTCATCTTCTCTTGTGGAGTTTAAGTTGTAAACATTCCTTCATAGTTTGAACTTTTATTTTTAACTTCACACTTACACCTATTGAGGATGTATACCCTTTCCATTTTTAGATATTTATTCATTTTAAATTACTCATGGAAGGATTTGTGGTTTGTCACTCTCTCAAACAGAAAGAGGCGCTAACTTAAAATGGCATGCTCAGAACACACACACACACACACACACACACACACACACACACACACATATATATGATAAGGTTCTTAGTAAATATATAAAATGACATTTATATGCTGCTTGACAGATACTGAAGATGAAAATGATGAAGACAATATAGTTAATGTAGATGATGAAGAAGATCGTGATGATGACAATGAAGATGTTGAAGAAAATATTCTTCCAGAAAATTTAAATAGAAGCAACCCTAGCTTAGTGGGTTTTCCCCCAGGAAACAACAGCAGTCAACCATCTGCTCCAGATGATTTTATGGTTCGTATATTAAAGTGAAAGTCTTTTGTTCTCATTATACTATATTTCTTCTTAAAAAACATTAAGTTGAATTTCATAAAACGAAATGCATAGACCTTAAAAGTAAAGTGGTGAATTTTTATGAATATTTATACCATATTCTTCTATGAAGATAATGAAAATTTCTGTCAGTCTAGAAACTTTACACGTGTCTTTTCCCAGCAAATCTTTATTTTATTTATTTTATTTATATTATTACTTTAAAAATAGTACCTATCAAAATTCCCACTTCCTCCTCTCTTCCCACTTCCCTCCTGCTCCCCCACACACTCTCCACCCCATCCCTCCAGTCCTAAGAGAGGGCAAGGCATCCTACCCTGTGGGAAGTCCAAGGCCCTCCCCACTACATCTAAGATGAGCAAGGTATACGTCCAAAGAGAATAGGATCCTAAAAAGCCAGTACGTGCAGTAGAGACAAATCCCAGTGTGATTGTAATTGGCCCCTCATTTCCACCAACTGTCAACCACATTCGGAGGGTCAGGTTTGATCCCATTCTCGTTCAGTCCCAGTCCAGCTGGCTTTGGTGAGCTCCCATTAGATCAGGTATACTGTCTCAGTGGGTGGATCAACCCCTTGTGGTTCTGACTTCCTTGTTCATGTTCTCCCTCCTTCTGCTCTTCAACTGAACCTTGGGAGTCCAGTCCAGTGCTCCAATGTGGATCTCTGTCTCTATCTCCATTTGTCGCCATACGAAGGTTCTCTGGTGATATTCAAGATAGTCATCAGTCTGACTATAGGACAAGGCCAGTTCAGGCACCCTCTCCTCCACTGCCCAGGGTCCTAGCTGGGGTCATCCCCATGGACTCCTGGGAACCCCTCCAGAGTCAAGCCTCTTGCCAACCCCCAAAAGGCTCCCTCAATTAAGATATCTCCTTACCTGCTCCAATATCCGTCCTTCCTCCATCTCAACCATTCCACTTCCCCAAGCTCTCCCCAATCCTTCCCTTCCCTCCCACCCCACCCCAACCCCATGCTCCCGACTTTTGCCTGGTGATCTTGTCTGCTTCCAGTTTTCAAGTGGATCTATATATGTTTTTGTTTGGGTTCACCTTATTACTTAGCTTCTCTAGGATCATGAACTATATATAGGCTCAATGTCCTTTTTTTGTGGCTAGAATCTACTAATTAGTGAGTACACACCATATTAATATTTTGGGGTCTGGGTTATCTCACTCAGGATAGTGTTTTCTACTTCCATCCATTTGCATGCAAAATTCAAGATGTCATTGTTTTGTATCACTGAGTAGTACTCTAATGTGTATATGTTCCACCTTTTCTTTATCCATTCTTCAGTTAAGGGGCATCTAGGTTGTTTCCAGGATATGGCTATTACAAATAATGCTGCTATGAACATAGTTGAACAAATGCTTTTGTAGTATGATTGGGCATCTTTTGGGTATATTCCCAAGAGTGGTATTGCTAGATCCTGAAGTAGCTTGACACCCAGTTTCCTGAGAAACCACCACACTGGTTTTCAAAGTAGTTGTATGAGTTTGCATTCCCACCAGCGATGGATGAGTGTTCCCCTTACTCCACATCCTTTCCAGCATAGGCTATCATTGGTGTTTTTGATTTTAGCCATTCTGACAGGTGGAAGATGGTATCTCAAAGTTGTTTTGATTTGCATTTTCCTGATAGCTAAAGAAGTTGAACATGCCGTTAAGTATCTTTTGGCTATTTGAAATTCTTCTATTGAGAATTATCTGTTTAGTTCAGTACACCATTTTTAATTGGGCTATTTATAATTTTAATGTCTAATTTCTTGAGTTCTTTATTTATTTTGGAGATCAGTCCTTTGTCTGATGTGGGGTTGGTGAAAATCTTCTCCCAATTCAGTAGGTTGCCTTTTTGTCTTAATGACTGTGTCCTTTGCTTTACAGAAGCTTCTCAGTTTCAGGAGGTCCCATTTATTCATTGTTGTTCTTATTGTCTGTGCTACTGAGGTGACTTTAATTTCTCTTTTTATTTCTTCCTTGACCCAGGGATGGTTCAGTAGTTGATTGTTCAGTTTTTATGAGTTTGTAGGCTTTCTGTGGGTAGTATTGTTGATAAATTCTAACTTTACTCCATGGTTATCCCATAAGGCACAGGTGGTTACTCTGTTTTTTGTTTGTTTGTTTGTTTTTTAATCTGTGGATGTTTGCTTTGTTACCGAGTATGTGATTAGTTTTCAATAAGGTTCCATGTGGTACTGAGAAGAAGGTATATTCTTTCCTGTTTTGGTGGAATGTTCTATAGATGTCTGTTAAGTTCATTTGATTCATTACACCTGTTCTCTTATTTCTCTGTCCATTGTCCATTGGTGAGAGAGGAGTGGTGAAATCTCCTATTATTAGTGTGTGGGGTTTGATGTGTGATTTGAGTTTTAGAAATGTTTCTTTTACACTTGTGGGTGCTTTTTTATATTAGGGGCATAGATATTCAGGATTGATACTTAATCTTGATGAATTTTTCCTGTTATGAGTATAAAATGTCCATCTCCATCTCTTCTAATTGATTTTAGTTTGAAATCAATTTTGTTAGATATTAGGATAGCCACACCCACTTGCTTCTTAGGTCCATTTGATCAGAAAACCTTTTCCCAACCCGTTACTCTGAGGTAGTGTCTGTCTTTGAGGTTGAGGTGTGTTTCTTGTAAACAGCAGAATGCTGGATCTTGTTTTCATATCCAATCTCTTATCTTGTGCCTTTTTATAGGTGAATTGAGTCCATTGATATTAAGCAATATTAATGACCAGTGGTTCTTAACTTCGGTTATTTTTTGGTGGTAGTGTTTGTGTGTTTCCCTTCTTTGAGTTGTTTTGGTGGAGGGTTATCAGATGTCTGTGTTGTTGTGGGTGTTATTAGCTTCCTTGGGTTGAGGTTTTTCTTCTAGTACTTTCTGTAAGGCTGGGTTTGTGGATACGTATTGTTTAAGTCTGTTTTGTTATGAAATATCTTGTTTTTTCTATCAATGGTGAAAGAAAGCTTGGCTGGGTATAGTAGTCTGGGATTGCATCCATGGTCTTGTAGTGTCTTCAGCACATCTGTCCAAGACCGTCTGGCTTTCATGGTTTCCATTGAGAGAGGTGTAATTCTGATAGGTTTTTCTCTATATGTTACTTGACCTTTTTTCTTTGCAGCTCTTAATTTTCTTTATTCTATGTTTTGTGTTTTGATTATTATATGGAGAAGGGATGTTTGTTTTTTATTCAGTCTATTTGGTGTTCTGTAAGCTTCTTGAACCTTCATAGGGATATCCTTCTTTAGGTTGGGAAAGTTTTCTTCTATGATTTTCTTGAATGTATTTTCTGGACCTTTGAGCTGGAGTTCTCCTTCTTCTACCCCTATTATTCTTAGGTTTGGTCTTTTCATGGTGTCCCAGATTTTCTGGATGTTTTGTGTTAATAATTTATTGGATTTAATGTTTTCTTTGATCAGTGATTCTATTTCCTCTATAGTATCTTCAGTGTCTGAGATTCTTTCTTCTTTCTCCTGTACTGTGTTGGTTATACTTGTCCTTGTAGTTCCTGTTTATTTACCCAGATTTTCCATATCCAGAGTTCCCTCAGTTTGTCTTTTCTTTATTACCTTCATTTCTGTCTTCAAATCTTGAACTGTTTCCTTTACCTGTTTGATGGCTTTTCTTGGTTTTCTTGGGTATCTTTGAGGGATTTATTAATTTCTTCTTTTTGTCTTCTCTTCCATTTCTTTACTTCCTGTTTAAAGGTCTCCATCATTTTCATAAGGTTACGTTTAAAGTCGTTTTCTTCTACTTCTTCTGGGTTGTGGTGTTCAAGTCTTCCTGTTGCATGTTCACTGGATTCTGGTGTTACCATGTTACTTTTCAGAATGTTGGAGGAATGCTTGCATTGGTGACTACCCATCTCTTTCTTCAAATGAGGTCTTGGCGTCTTGGTCCATTCTTTGCTGTGACTGACTGAGTACTTGGGAGCTTTTCTTGTTCTGCCCTCTCTTAGGTCCCCTCAGTACTGGAGCAATCTGTGTTTCAGGATTCTAAGGACCTAACAGGCAAAAAAGGCAGGCTTGGGGGCAGGGTTGGTTGGGGGAAAGCCCAGCAGCAGGGACACACCCAGCTGGCTGGCAAGAAAAGCTAGGGAGTTGTGGAGGGGCCCCTAAGTTCAGGCCCACTGGTGAGGTCCTAGAGAGTGGGGTGTCAGCCTGTCCAAGCTTGTGTGCACTGTCTCACCTCTCAGATACCCTCAGAACTGAAGCAGGCTGTGTTGCAGGGTTCCAAGGACCTTGCAAGTAAAAAGGTGGGCATGGGGACAGGGTGGGGATTGGATAAAGAAAGCCCAGCAGCAGGAACACATGCCACTGGATAGCCAGAAAAGCTTAGGGAATTGTGGGGGGTTGCATTCTGTCTCCCTGGGAAGGTCCCAGTGAGTGGCACTTCTGGCTGTCTGGCCCTGTGGTCACTGACTCACCTCTCTGGTCCCCTCAGCACTAGGGCAGGGTCTATTGCAGGGTTCCAAGGACCTTGCAGACAAAAAGGCGAGCTTGGGGGAAAGGTGGAATGGGAAAAAGAAAGCCCAGCAGCAGGAACACTCCCCACTGTCTCTCCGGTCCCCTCAGCCCTGAAGCAGGCTGTGTTTTAGGGTTTGAAGCTCCCAGCAAATTGTTGTCTTCCCTAAATATTTTGATTTATCTTACATCCTAGGTTAATTTACCTGCTACACAGTTTCATGTAAAATTGTATAGATAAAAATATTTTATATAAATAGAATTGTGGATTTTGTATTTTCCTTGGACTAATGTTTTAGAGATTTATCTTATTCCCATTATTTCCCAGTGTTATTCTTATATGTAGTTTACTTATTCATTCTCTTCCAAGTGGCCATTTGGGTTCTACAAGTTTTGAGTCATTAGGAGTAAGTGATTGTGAATTGGTTTATGAAAGTCTCATAACTATCTTTGAATTTTTTTCACAAACACTCAGGATAGTGAACTATTCCATTTT